TTGAGTTGGCCACGCCCACCCAGGTTTTGAGGCTCCCGGTGTTTTCTTTTCTGCGGGAAATGGGTCCAAATGGCTCTTTGAGTGTTTAAGGTTGACGGTCCCTGGCCTGGTCAGCCTCCTGCACCATAGTGTGTGGGGAGGTGTTTTCACCTTCCCTGGGCTCCCGAGGCTTTCCTTGAGCCTCCAGGGGGGCTGTTTCCCCCCATCCCAGACTCTGGAGGCTCTCTGGAGGCCTCGTTTTTCGCCCTCCCCCAGCCTCTGTGTGGGCCCTGCATTTACCCGGGATCCAAAACGGGCTGTGCAGAGACTCCTGGGAGGGGCTGGGTGGGGTGGTCAGCCAGTCATTGCAACTACCAGTTCGGTGAACCAGATGTAAAATTAACATCCGGTTCAACTGAACCAGTGTGAACCCTTAGCAGCCCGCACTTGGGTTTAGGCTTATAATGGCACGCAGATCTCTGGACAATTTATGCATACTTCATTTTATGTCCATACACCTATTTCATTTTATGTCCTTAATTCTGCTACTGTCTTCTTACACAACGCCAGCCTCTTTCCTGGTCATTTTGTGCCAGACATGCAAATAATTTTCTTCTAATTTAAATGAGCATTTTTTTTTCTTTACTCCCCAAAATAATTGTTTGATCTTTTCAGATGATTGACAACATGGGTGGTCCTCAACTTAAGACTATAATTGACCCCAAAATTTCTGTTGGTAAGCAAAACATGAGTTAAGTGAGTTCTGTCCCTTTTTACGACTTTTCTTGCCACCGTTGCTAAATGAATCGCTGCAGCTGTTAACTTAGTAACATGGTTGTTAAGTGGATCTGGTTTCCCCCATTGACTTTGCTTGTCAGGAAGTTGCAAAAGGGGATCACGTAACCCCAGGATCCTGAAACCATCATAAATATGAGTCAGTTGCCAAGTATCTGAATTTTGATCATGTGACCATGGGGATGCTGCAATGGTCATAACGGTCAACATAAATCACATTTTTCAGTGCTGTTGTAACTTCAAATAGTGTCTAAACAAACTGTTGTAAAACGAGGACTATCTGTATTGAAATGAACACATTTTTTAATAGTACTGCAAGAGAAAACTCCAGTATTTTAGATGCCGGATTCTGATTGCATCCCTTTCCTTGTTTTTGCTTATGGGTACCAACAGTAGAGCTCAGGTGTGCCCATGTCATGCCCCTGTTGGAGACCGATTCTGAGGGAGAGGAGGACTAGCCGACAGGGAGTGGAAGTGGGGCTCCGGAAGTTGGGGAAGGGCAGAGGCTGGCTGGCAGTCAGGGGAAGACCCAGGCCCATCCTCTCTCCATCCTAGAGCACACAGGGAGGAGAGGATAAGGAAGAAATGTGAATGGTGTGGTCTACGGGGGAGGAATGGGCCTTGATCCTCTTCATGGGCTGCAGCTGTGAGAACTGCTTAAAAGGACGAACATGCATATGGGCCAGTGCTGGAAACAAAGTGTGGAAATATCTCTCGTCTGTCCTTCCTCTCTGAGTTTGGCGTCCTTCCCAGTGTGTGTTCCGATATCTGTGGACTTCTTCAAGCTCTTATCTTGCCTAGTTCCCTTAATTGCTTCAGTGTGGTTTGTGTTGTTTTTACTCTTATAATTTATAGGCATTTTCAGTTTAAACGACATTTCCTCCTTTTTGTATCTGCTTGTGGGGGAGTTTTTTGTCTCCAGTCAAGGATATTTGGAGCTTTGAAGCAAAGTGAAGGAATAAAAAGGACTTCACCTGTTTTTGTATCCCACCTTAGGTCATCACAGGCCATTTCAAGTATTATATGTAGAAATTACATGAGTTACACCTGTAGAAATGAAGAACAGAAGGGAAGCCATACTTATCCAATATTTGAACTATGCAATGATTATTGGACAATTATATATCTAATAAACATGTACTGTGTTATAACTTGTTATGTTCTAAAATAAATGTCAGGCTTTTGGGTAGAACATTGGTGTGTACTTTTTGGCATAAGGATATGCGTAGGAGATACTAGGTTATCCTGACCCGAAAGGAACTGGTTAACGATTTATTGTATTACAGATGGTCATAACAGGACCATAACAGGGAGAAGAATCCATGAGAACGAGGGTAGTTTCCAAGAACAAGGAAACAGGTATTACGCTACAATAATATGGGTGTTGCGTAGGGAGATACGTAGCTTGCATAGATTATGAACCCAGGAAAGGGGCAGAGACTGTATACTTGAACCTGTATATAAACCCCAACCTTCCTGGGAACCATCTGCCATGAACAGAATTCCCTTTTGCAAAAGCTTAATAATAAAGACTCTTGTTCACATGTCTCCAGTTGTTTTTTGATTATTATCACATCAAGAAATATCTGAAGTAAATTCATGTTGTTGAACATAGCTGGTAATTTGACCCATTTTCTGCATTTACACAACGCACTGAGTCATAAGCTAGTCAAGCTGTCACCAAGTGCGATCTAACACATGCTCTACTGAGGTTGCAAACTCTGTGCAGGACTGGTTAACAAGAACATTTCTGTACAGTTGGTGGGAGTGACTTCTGAGTAAGCACGCTCATAATTAAGCACCACCAAGCTAGATGCAAAATGTGAATTGAAGGCATTAATGAGAATTCTGGAACCAAACAGTTCGACTCTCTTAAATTGCAACCTTGACATTCAGATAGGCCCAGATAGGTCGGGGATACACAACCTGTGGGCTGCGGCCTACTATTAGGTCCGCAGCCTATTTGTAACTGGGCTGAGTAAGTGGCTGGCTGGGGCGCCCGCACGGGCCTACTCAAGCTCACAGGCCCCGCTGGCATGAATGTTGTGAGGGGCTCGCGGCCTCAGTCATGCAAGCAACATGCCTGCACCCACTACAAAGACCATCTCCCCTTCCCCCACCCCCCACTTGGGGCCCACAACCCCCAAAAGTTGGGGAACTCTGCCCTATATAATTTAGGGCTGTGAGATCTGAGCTGAAAAATTTGGATGGCCCACCAATGGCAGTAAAGCGATACAGAAAAGAACAACTTTGGTGGTGATCCAGATTTTAAGCCAGATGAAATAGCCTTAAACAAAGACAAAGAAAAGTTGCTAAACTTGAAATGAATAAATTGTGACAATATGAATTTGGTAAATACAGGTAGTCCTTGAATTACAACAATTCATTTAGTGACTGTTCAGTTACAACAGCATTGAAAAAAGTGAGCTTTTCACACTTATGACTGTTGTTGGGCAGTGGTGGGATTCAATTTTTTTTTACTACCGGTTCTGTGGGCGTGGCTAAGTGGGCATCGCTTGGAGGGCCCACCCCACTAACCTGCTTTCCAGCTCCATTCTCCCATCCAGGGCAACCAAAGAAGACCCAGCCAATCAGTTGGGACTCGGGAGGTGGAGAATAGATGGGGGCGGGGCCAGTCAAAGGCGGGATTTGTCGGTTCTCCAAACCACTCAAAATTTCTACTATTCAGAACCTGCTGAATACCTCAGTTGTTAGGCCATCTCCACGTCACATGATCAAAATTAGGACACTTTGCAACTGACTCCTATTTATGACGGTTGCAGTGTCCCAGGATCATGTAATCCCCTGTTGTGACATTCTGACAAGCAAAGTCAACAGGGAAGCCAAATTCACTTAAACAACGGGTGAATTGGTTATAATTTAATAACTGCAGTGATTCACTTCCCAACTCATAAAATCTTCATAAAATGGGGCATAACTCATTTAACAAACGTTTCGCTTTTAGCAACAGAAATGTTGGGCTCCCTTGTGGTCGTAACTCAAGGACTACCTGCCCATTTTCTTTAGTGGAGTCCTTGGTGCTCTCTGAGATTGGCTGTTTGCCTGAAAACGTCTCATTGCCTGATTAGGTAACATCATCAGTACTGGTGAACTATTTAATTATATTAAGGTATATATACCTTAATATAAATTTATATATTTCTATCTTATCAGAATAGAAACTGGTAAGCAAATAGCACCCCTTACTAGCACTGATGATGTTACCCAGTTGGTAATGAAATGTCTGCAAGAAAACAAACAAGCTCAGACAGCACCAAGGACCCCACAGTCTTCCCCCTCCTCCTCCTCCTCCTCCTCCCCACAGACCCTCCTCCCTTCTAACAGTGATGATGTCATCTAGTTTTGGTAATGACACATCTGCAAGGAGATCACCAGGAGCCCCACAGTGGTTGTCCTTCTCCCCCTCCTCCATAAACCCTACTTCCATCTAGCACTGATGATGTTACCTAGTTAGAGTAATGAAACATCTGTAAGAAAACAAGCTGGGAAGCTAGACTCCATTTCCTTTAGCATTTGGAGAAGGCAGAAGCACAAAGAAGAATCCATCTTAATCTGTGGCACATGGTCATCCAAGGACAAACCCACATCCCACACAAGAGCATTGCTTGATGAGATTTAAATTGCTTGTATTTATTAATTGTTATGCTCAGCAGCAACTCAATACTGCCTAGATTATAATTTGGTTCTCATTGTGTGTATCCCTATTTTCCCCAGTTTCACCATATCCTGTTCTTTCAATAAAGCCTTCCGATCTAAACACACGGTCTGTTTTATTGGAGGATAGGTTGGGTTTAGCGGCATGTCGAGATGCACACAGACTAACGTATAGTGAGGACAGAACACCCATTTTGCATCATCATGTGACTGACCCAATTTTGGGCAGTCTGGGGAATTCTGGGAATTGAAGTCCAATGGCCAAGGTTGGAAAAC